ATCCCAGAATCCCAGAATCAGCTGGGTTGGAAAAGCCCTCCGAGATCATCCAGCCCAACCCTTGATCCAACCCCGCCATAGTTCCCAGCCCAGGGCACTGATCCAATTAGGAATTGGATAATTAGGAATTAGATCATTAGGAAAAAATCCTGTGAAGGTAAAGCTTGCCCAGAGAAGCCGTGGCTGCCCCTGGATCCCTGGGAGTGTCCCAGGCCAGGCTGGAGCAACCTGGGATAGCGGGAGGTGTTGGACATGGAACTGGATGGGCTTTGAGGTCCCTTCCCACCCAAACCATTCCAGGATTCCATGATTTTACGTCCCTAAATGAACTCTAACCACTTCCCACTGGCATCTGCTGCATTCTGTGCTGCTCCTGAGTTTTCCTGCTTCCGATCCCCCCCACAACCACAATTCCAGGAGCGCAGAGGGAACCAACTTCCAATTTGGAGGAATCGGGTGACGAACCTCCCGAAGCAGCACAAACCTCCCTTTGCCTTTGGGTTCGACTTTTATTTTTTGGAGTTATTCCAGCCAGTTAAAGGTGTAAATAAAGGAAACCTCTCTGAACTGCTGGATTAAAGCTCGGAATCGCGTCTCATTAAAGCTCAGAATCGCGTCTCCCAACACAAACCCTGTTTTACCTCTTGCAGAAGAGGAAGCGCCGCGAGAAGGACGATGACGTGGTGAGCCTGAACAGCCTGGACTTCAAGGTAACCCAGCTGCTTTCAGACGTTTGAAATGCCAACTCAACAACTCTGCCAACTCAACAACTCTGCCAACTCCCCTGCTGGGCGAGGAACATCCTCCTGCCCGTGTTTGCTTTGCCCCAGCCCCGTTTTAGGGCCCGGCCCAGCTGGGTTTGCTCTGGGGAACCAGCTCGGGGTGGGCCCGGTCCTGCTGGGGCATCTCCTCAGCGCTGCTTTAACCCTTTAATTTGCTTTTTTTCACCCTAAAACTCTTCAATTTAACCCGAAATAAACGTTTGGGACCCCCCTGCTCGGCAAGAACGGGAACTTCTTTGAGTACCGGGGAGCAACACTCTGCAAAACCCCTGCAAATATCAGTTTTGGTGGGTGGTAAACTGGGTTTAAAGCTGGGATTAAAGGCATTGACAGACCGACTGAAAATGGAAATCCAGGGTTTTCTTTAGGAAAACTGNAAATGGAAATCCAGGGTTTTCTTTAGGAAAACTGGATGATTGGAATTGGTTTCCAATGGAACACCAGTGTTTTCTTTAGGAAAACTGAATTATTGGAATTGTTTTCCATTTGAAAACCAGTATTTTCTCTAGGAAAACTGAATGACTGGAATTGTTTTCCAGTGGAAAACCAGTATTTTCTCTAGGAAAACTGGATGACTGGAATTGGTTTCCAATTGAAAACCAGTATTTTCTCTAGGAAAACTGAATGATTGGAATTGTTTTCCATTTGAAAACCAGTATTTTCTTTAGGAAAAGTGAATGATTGGAATTGTTTTCCCATTGAACACCAGTATTTTCTTCATGAAAACTGAATGATTGGAATTGTTTTCCAGTGGAAAACCAGTATTTTCTCTAGGAAAAATGAATTATTGGAATTGTTTTCCAGTAGAATACCAGTATTTAGGAAAACTGGATGACTGGAATTGTTTTCCCATTGAAAAACCAGTATTTTCTCTAGGAAAACTGAATTATTGGAATTGTTTTCTAATGGAAAACCAGTATTTTCTTCATGAAAACTGAATTATTGGAATTGTGTTCCAGTGGAAAACCAGTATTTAGGAAAACTGAATTATTGGAATTGTTTTCCAGTGGAAAACCAGTATTTAGGAAAACTGGATGACTGGAATTGGTTTCCAATTGAAAACCAGTATTTTCCTAGGAAAACTGGATGATTGGAATTGTTTTCCAGTGGAAAACCAGTATTTTCTTCATGAAAACTGGATTATTGGAATTGTTTTCCAATTGAACACCAGTATTTTCTTCATGAAAACTGAATGATTGGAATTGTTTTCCAGTGGAACACCGGTATTTAGGAAAACTGAATTATTGGAATTGTTTTCCAATGGAAAACCGGTATTTTCTCTAGGAAAAGTGGATGATTGGAATTGGTTTCCAATTGAAAACCAGTATTTTCTCTAGGAAAAGTGAATGATTGGAATTGTTTTCCCATTGAACACCAGAATTTAGGAAAACTGAATTATTGGAATTGTTTTCCAATGGAAAACCGGTATTTTCTCTAGGAAAAGTGGATGATT